AGAATACATAGTGCAGTCTTCATTGTGTAATCAAAGACCATAATTTTATCCAAACTTCTTTTTTGATCCTTAAAAATCATTGGCCTGTGGGCGCCAATACCCCCTTTCCATTTTTAATTTCAAAATATATCTAGATTATTTTTGTGGACATAATTTTCAAACTTTTTAACCATGTTCAATTACAAAACGTAATTTTATCATGATTTAATTATCCTTCTTTTGTTTTTCTTGAGAATACATAGTGCAGTCTTCGTTGTGTAATCAAAGTCCATAATTTTTTTCAAATTTCTTTTTTGATCCTTAAAAATCATTGGCCTGCGGGCGCCAATACCCGCATTCCATTTTTATTTTCAAWGTATAGCTCAAGTTTATTTTTGTGGACATTATTTTTAAACATTATTAGCCACTTGCCACTAAAAAACATAATTTTATCATGATTTAATTATCCTTCTTTTGTTTTTCTTGAGAATACATAGTGCAGTCTTTATTGTGTATTCCAAGACTATAATTTTTTAAGCTGATTTTACTGTACACAACTTTTTATCCTTAACAAAAACGATACATCTTAAATATTATCATTCAGGTATTATATTTTACTCTCTATAGTTTTTTGTTTCATGTACACAGAATACATACTACAATCTTCTGTATATATATTTTAATGAATACATTTTTCAAAATGTCTTTTCGTTGTTAATTCTSTTTGAGTACACTTGACACATGTTGACTCCAACTTGAATAAACTTGTCTCCGACTTGCTTCCAACTTGACTCTGACTTGATACAACTTGTCTCTAATCTGACAGAACTTGACACCTGTTAAGTGTCATAACTTAACCTAACCTGTCATATATTTCGCTGGCTCAGAACTTGTCTGGCCCGATATCTTCGGGCCCTTTCCCGAGTCTCCGTTCCTTAACGCCCCGGAGTTTCGTTTCTTCGGGTTAGTTCTTGTACAGCCTGCCAGTGTGGTAATGACTACCATATACCCTGCATCCTGCTACCGAAGATAGTCGTTGTTTCGGATTCAGCACTTGGGATYTCTCAGCATTTTCAGTTTTTGGTATATCCCATCGTTTTAACTTTGGTGGTCTGCTGGTGCTCACTCCCACCTTATCCGAYGGTACAGGTAGTTTAGCATTGAGTTGTGTAAACCTTTGTATTTGTTTCATTGTACTTATTAATATTTAGGTATGTGTGTTTAATTGTTAGGAAAATGGGTAGTTTTAAATGGAAGGTTTTTATATTGGTTATTTTTTTTTTTTGGACGAGTCCGTAAGTTTCTCCATAAATAATAATCTATTCAGTCTCACATTTTCATTGTAATGCTTTTTAAATAACTTTCAATGTTCACTGAGAGCATCAACAATAGTTACAGCATTTTTTTCTAAGTTTTTTAAGTTAAAATGTTTGCGAATATACTCCTTTGACAACTCGTGTATTTGTAAACTCCTAGACAAATTTTTAAAATCACAATACCTACCCTTCAGTAGACCA